AACTTAAAGATATCCAAAGTAACTGTATAGCCGCCCTGGAAACTCTTGAAAAACATTATCAATTTGTCCAATTTACAATTTGTGTTTAGGTCATTCGTTGTTGAAAGTTTCGAGTTGTATCAGTCTTTGAATAATGCAACCAATATACCACTTAAAAGAACCACAAATTGATAGGGAAGAGGACGTCAGGACAATTATACAGACGTTTCTTTTTCAGTTCTCGGAGAAGGCGTACGGTGGGCCTTCGTTCAATCGCCCGGCTTGCTGTTTTGCGCCGCATATTTATGGAGCCGGCAAAACATTTCTAGGCCAAAACTTTTTGGCCTATTTGAATATTTTTGCAGAGCGTGAGTGTTCCAATGCACAGACTTTTCAACAACTACACAGTTCAAACGATAACCCCCAACCGAGTGCGTTGAAGGTGCCTTGGAAACACTTTGCGGAACAAACTTTGTCAGTTATCTTAGAACTAAGAGAGAGCTTTTTTCGCGCTCCTTTTCCAAGGTTTCTATAGGCTTTGTTATATAATATAATTTTGAACGCTTATCGACAAAATGGAAGAAGAAAAGATGCCGCACACGTTGCTTCAACGATAATCAGGGAACTCAACTTGGACGATGCCATAGATTATCTTCTCGAACAATTTCAGAAACAATATTTATTTTTGATGATAGACGAACTTAGCCACCTGAGTTACCTCACTAAATACTATAGTGAACTCGGCGAGGAACAGTTCATCGAGTCTGACCCAAAATATGTACCTTTTCGGAACTTCTTCCGCATTTTACGTGATTTGTTGATTATAGGAAAGGTAATTGTCTATTTGGCAGGTCGAACTGCTGAAATCTCGCCCTTGTCTGATACTCGCTCCAGTAGAGTGAGTCTCCATATGTTGCGGCTGAATCCCTTTAATCTCCATGATATTAACGAATATATTGAGCTGGCAACTTATGATGGAAAGTCCTTGAAGGACTGGTTATTGCCCTCTGATGATTTACGACATCGATTCGTAGAATTGTTGAAAAAAGAAGACAGGGGGTATCCCGTTGATTGTAAGGAATACTTTACTTGCCCTAGTACGGAAAGTTGCAGATTTGTCGCAACCTGCTATCAACAACGACAATATGGAAGTTTTGTTAGATGGTGTCTTCCGGTCTTTACTACTACATTCGTTAACGTTTATTATTCCAGAGATACTAGATTCCGCAACCCTTCTTCGATATGAATTTGTCTTTTTGAATTATCAGCTCGGAACAATTTTTCCAATTGACTTTGTAATTACTCTATGTGGAACGAGAACTTATTTGATGGACTTGGTTGCAACTTTTGGGTTTTACTTTGAAATTTGTGAAACTGACGGGGTTGATATGGGGACCGAATTCAAGATTGGTTGTTGTGAATTTATATTGAGAGCTCATAGCAACTATAACTTTTTCCGTGAGGCTACTGAACTCTTTTCTTTATTCCGTTTAGTTATATTCCCGACACTTCAACAGCAAAGGGAGTCTTCTTTGAATTTGTATTTATGAAGATCTTTCGCTTTCGCTTATTAACTTTTCTTCATTCTAATTCCTCGCCTATCGTACATTCTGCTATTCCAGGAATTTTCGAGGGCTCTTTTATTGAACAGGACAATGTTTCTTATTCTATGGAATCAACAAAATCTAATGATATACCCATCTTGAGAGATGTCTCTGATTCATTTTCTGATCATTATGGAAAATATTTACAACGTTGTGGTATTTTTGTTCCAAAGGAGGGCAATTCGAGTGGCCCTGATGCATATGTTGTATTCCATAATGGACAAACACGTTATGTTGTTGGATTTTCATTCAAATTTTATCACAAAAGTGAATTTTCGAAGAGAGATATTGAGGAGGAAGCCAAAAAATTTTTGAAGGAAGTTGTTTCCGTTTTGAATTACGAATCTTGTTCATCTGTTCAACTTTGTTTTCAGTTTGTGGTGATAGCATATACTAATTATGATCGATCTGTTTTTTTCTCTGTTGAAGATGCAAGTTATTTGGTTACTGAACATTCTGCAGGGTCAATTTTGAATGAAAGTAGTCGATCATGCCTGCAGTTGGTAATTGTTTCCCAAAAGAACCTTGAACGATTCTTTGGAAGAGAAAATTTCGATATTTTGAGGAAAATTGACAAGGCAAGCCGAGACGAGTTCAGTAAATACTTTTCAGTATGATGTAAAACTTATTTGAATCGATGTCCAATGAATATGTTTCATCTTTGGAAGCTGAACAATCAAATGTTACTTCAAGAGTGTCTTGAAATATAAGACCGAGAACAAATGATGAGAATAGGATGCAAATGGAAGGTTTTCAAAGTGCTGTGCAAGTGGAAGAAGGAGATACACGAGGAGAACAAGGGGCTGCAGCATCGAGTTCTTTGTCTTCGTCATTTGATTGGAATACTTTTCTAAGAGAACGTTATGGCTTCACGCAAGCTTCGTTTATTGAGCGCTATGCACGTCAACTGCGAGTGTTTAGTCCAAGAAGCTTTTCACATTTGGACGACTCTACTTTATTAATCTTTGGTATAGCTCCTAGAGACGTTATTTTGATTCTTCGTGGCATCCATGAGTTTCTTGAAGAGGAGATGAAACACTTAACATGGTTTTATTGGAAAATGCTTGCAAAAGGCTGGTTGATCTAAGTTCTCAAGTCCAAACAAAGTCTTAAGAAATTTTTTTATCTTCCAAATAGCGAGAGTGGTATTGATTGAACTTTACATTTGTGATACGACGCTTGAGCTATGGCAATATATACTTTGTGTATTTATCCAGTAGTTTCAGAGAATACTGCTGAAAAGGAAACAGACTAAATAATAGAGAACTGCGTGGCTTGAAATTGGAAAAACAATAAGATCACTTTCTGCAACAGTTTATTCTTCGATGGAGAAACTATAATAACTTGTCTGAGAAGCGTTGATATCATTCAAATGAGTTTCTACGACAACTATTATGTTAAATACTAAGGATAGTGTAGTGAACTGTACACTGAATTGTGATGCCTCTTGCGATGACCTGAGAGTTGTTGCGGAAATAATATCCTTAGTAGTGAATTCCCTGTTGTGACTTCTTTTCTTATTGTATAACAGTAGAACCAGAATATTTACAAGATTTTCAACTAGTGTGGGATCATTTATGAAGAATGCCAGCAAACTTGATTCTCTTTTTTCGGACAATATTCCTGTTCAACACTTCTACATAGCAAGACCTTGGCTACGTTGCCATTGATTGGATCATAGTATGAAGAATATTGCCACATAAAAGAGAAAGTTTGTGTAGATACACTATAAGTGAAAGCAACCGTTCAGAAAAAAAATTTGTGTATTTTGACTAATTGAAAATAGACAAAATATCTATTCAATGAATGCCATTGTAGCATTGGATTTTCTGCTTGTAAACATGCCATCTTTATGGCATTTTGACTGTTATACTAAAATAATGTTTGTCTCACAATTTCAAACCTTTTGTTTCCTACTTTACATATGTGGCATTTCAAGTATCTTGACTTTCTTTACTAATGTGGGAAAGGAACTGACAACCTCAGACACAATAAAATTGGCGACCCTTTTCTACCGACACTTGAAAACGTTTTTTAATAAACAGTGAGTTTCAAAAATATATCCAAGCACTCGAAGTCCAACTTGCAAGTAAGGTTTTGGAGTCACGAGTTATACAGTTTCCAAGTTTTGATTTTTCCAAGTGCACATCCTACATTCTTTATACGATTCTTTCTGTTACTATCGCGTACAATTCTTCAAAGAGTACAAGAATCCTCTCTTTTCTTCAAGCTTGTAAAAAAACTCTCAGAGAAATTTTCAAGTGGCTTGGAGACAACAAAGACATCTACTTTGTAAAAGAAAGTGAACGAGAAACATTTGCTTGACGTTAGACAAAGATCTTCAAAGAGACTATAACGATGCAAGTCAAAGTCGAACAATTGAGACAAACTCAAGTGGTCGTTCTCAAACGACACAAAGACAAGATTGAAATTTCTCGTACAAAACTCAATAGCAGAGGCAGCTGTTCAACGATATAACAAAACCGTCTGTCCTAGTGGTTTTTGCCCATACTATGGTTACGGTCTCTGCGAGTATGCAGAGTTTTGTAGACATACTTCCTGTTCATGGCTCTGAATTCATGACTGCTTTTGGGAATGTCTAAAACACTACTAGTGTATGTTGATAATGTGGCACGACAAACTTGCAAAATGCTCATTGACTTGCGATACCTTTTTCTGTTCTAGTAATGCTTCTAGTACAATATATTCAGTCGTTGATTTATTTCCATTTCTATCTTTTGTTTACTATAAAAGTTCTTTGCTCATATTAATACTTCAAAGTGCCACTGAGAAGCAAAACACTCGTTTTTATAAACCAAATTGATTAGTCGTCATACACTCAACAGTTTCCAAGTGTCTGCCAATTTTAGTTAGGTTTGTGTGCCCATTCAGACTAGGATCATTAACAGTTCGCTATTGTGTAACTTCGAAAATTTATGTTTGAATATTTTCTTTATCAACAAAGAAGATGCACCCAGATAAGAAAGATTCATCTACTTTCCATGTTTTATTGTTTATTAACTAAATCATAAAGCAAATGCAACACAACGAGAAAGACGAGAAAGCAAGCAAAGAGAACAACATGCTTCGTTAGTCTTAAGTTTCACTGGAATCTGATCGAGTCTTCTTTCCATTATGCTTACGAAGAACATAGTAATGGAACGCTTCTTTGGCCTCATGAAGATGCTTTTTAACCAAACCGAGCAGGCCTTTTCTAAACAGGTCTCTTATATCTTCCAATTGCAAGCCTTTGGTTTCCGGAAGAAACATAAAGTGGAATATCCAGAATAATACAGAAACACCAACGTAGAAATAAAATGTACCTTGGATAGTGAAAGCAGCTACTTGCTTTGAGAATAAAAGAGTAGAGAGGGCTAGCGAGCCTAGAAGCAAAGCAGAAGCCCAAGCCATGCCATAGTTGCGTAAGTGAAGCTCATAGATTTCACCATTAGTGACCCATGCAACGGGAGATATTCCTATTTGAAAGCCAAGATAGAAAATGAGCATGCCTATAATAAATCCTGCTGCTCGTTGATTTGTATTGGTGACATAGATACTGGAGCCAGCTATGAGTTCTCCAATCATGAAAATGGGGAAGCTTATTAGTAGCATGGTTCTTCTTCCATATCGGTCGAGCCAATAGTAAGCTGGAAGGGTCCAACAAAAGCTCCAGAATCCAATTGGCATCTGAACATAGTCTGCCTCATGATTGGTTAAGCCAAGTGATTTCAACAAGATAGCCATGTAGTAGCCTACAGAGGATGCACCATTCCATTGTTGAGATACCGCTAATACTCCACCAACTATGAAAGTTGCACGTCTCTTTGAATCAGTAACTATTTCTTTGATAGCAGAAACAAAGTCTATTTGGCAAGACAATTCTTCTTCAAGTCTGATCACCATTTCACGATAGTCTCTTTCAGATAAAGGAGTTTCTCTTCTGTATTTCCTCCAGCTTTTCCTGGCCAGTTCAGGTTTTCTCTTAAGCATGAGAAATCGAGGACTTTCTGGAAGAAATAACAGACCAATGAGTTGAATAAATGGACCAACAAAGCCAGATCCCAAAATATATCTCCATGACCCAGGATGCACATTAAGAAATATGGAAGAGACTACCCAAGCGAGAAATGTTCCTAAAGCTTGTAGAGAGTTAAAAATGTTAAGATGGCCTCCACGATGCGACTTCGACTTCAGAGATATACATAGGAATAGTCATTGCTTCGGTTCCAATTCCGACACCCATAATTAGTCTGCCGGCAAGAAGCTGACCCCATGAGAAGGAGGATGCAGCAACCACAACACCAGCCATATATAAAAGAGAAGAAGTAATAAGAACTGGCTTACGTCCCACAATAAAACTCAAAGGGGTGGCACTAAAGCAACTGTCAGCTTATATTGTTCGCAATTCAGTTGATACAACTCACAGAATAGAACCGATGACACAACCCCAGCCAGCTCCTGAAGCTATCCATGACCATTCATTACTGGAGATATGCAAGGCAGGTTCAACATAAAGCGCTGCTCCTCCAGTGAGACCAAGATCCATACCCATCATTGTTGACCCCCAACATGTAACAAACAAAAAGAATCGTAACAAATTAGTGACACCTTCATCCTTTTCATTTTCCTCAATGCAGTCTTTGTCATTTATTTTGGTATTGGTTTCCGATATTACTGCGTCATCATTCAAGTTCACCTTCTCAGTACTAATGAAATCATTTCGCAAAGCCATTATATGTATTCACAACTTGAAGAATACCGTAGACTTTAGAGCCATTTTAAAAAACAGAGATGGATATTGTCGATGAGACAAGTTCGAGAAGGAAGGATAGCAAACAGAGTGGCAACTTTGTACATTGGACTCGTTTATGAATGCTTTGAAATGAGCAATGAGCGTAGAAATTTTCCAGTAGAAGATGTTGACATTTATCCGTTTCATGACTTGTCCCATAGACTATAGTTTTGAGGCTGCTTTAGAATCCTGCAGACAAGTTGAAAATGACTCCGAGTATTGAATTGTGAGTGAAACTTGATGTTATGAAATTGTGAAAATGTATTTGTTATTATGGCTACAAGGAGAGTATTGTTAGTTTCTGCTGGAATTTCATTATGTATATCGTGGGTTTCTGTTGAAATTCCTTGAAATCGTGACTGGTCCAAAGGACATCAAAAGCGATTAGCCTTCAAATGGAAATCTCGCTTTCCTTTGTGGAGGAAGATTTGTTATTTCCATTGTAGCCAGGAGACTCTTATGTCAACTGCTCAAGTTACCTTTGATAAAAGAGCCGTTGTGATTGATGGGAAAAGAACTATTCTCTACTGTGGAAGTTATCACTATCCCAAGATTCATTATGAACATTGGCCCCAGGCTCTGGAGCTAGCAAAGGACTGCGGTCTAAATTGTTTAGAAGTTTGTAAGCTTGTCCAAATGTGAAAGTTTGAGTTGATTCTAACCAAGATTGATTTAGATATTTTTTGGAACGTCCATGAAAAGAAAAAGGGAGTGTATCACTTTGAAAGGGAAGGAAACATTTTTCGATTTCTCCAGTTGGCTCAGGAAAGAGGACTCAAAGTTATCTTACGTATGGGCCCATATATTTGTGCGGAAACTAGTTATGGAGGATTCCCGTACTGGCTTAGAGAGATTCCAGGTAAAATAAGAATGGTTGAAGAATAAAATTATCCAAAATAATCGAAAATAGGTATTGAATTCCGAACCTATAACGAACCCTTCATGAAAGAGATGAAACGCTGGCTGACTGATATCAATCGAATGCTTAAAGAAAATAAACTCTATCATCAAAAGGGAGGACCCATTATATTGGTTCAAATTGAAAACGAATATGATATCGTTAGCTCGATATATGGTGCAGCAGGTCAAAAGTATTTACACTGGTGCTATGAGCTATATAAGGGTAAGTATCTTGACTTACTATTGTTGCAGAACTTAAGGCTCTTCTCTGTAATAGAGTGAGACGCCTGGAGTACCTCTGATTATGTGCAAAAGCTCAGAAGGTGCTTCAGAATGGCTGACAAGTAAAGACAGTGAATACTTTCGTGTTGCGAGCATTGATAAATCTATTGAAACAATCAATGACTTTTACGGACATAGAAGAATTGATTCGTTGAAAGCTCTCAAGCCTCATCAACCTCTTCTATGGACAGAATTTTGGATTGGCTGGTAAGGCTATGACCAATGATGTGAAATTTTACATTCACTGATGAATAGGTATAATATTTGGCGAGGTGCACAACGACAAAGGCCAGTAGATGTAAGTTTCTCAATCTATAACTTTTGATAAACAGTCATTATTCTTTTTTAGGATGTTATTTATGCAGCTGCTAGATTTATAGCTCAAGGAGGATCTGGCATGAACTATTATATGTTTCACGGAGGTACCCATTTTGGGAATTTGGCAATGTACGGACAAACCACAGGATATGATTTCGATGCTCCGGTGGATTCTTACGGTCGACCTACTGAGAAGTTCGAACGATTGAAGCAACTAAACCACTGTCTTTCCAATTTGGAATATATTCTTCTATCGCAAGATGAACCAGAGGTCCAAAAATTGACTCCAAATGTGAATGTGTATCGTTGGAAAGATATAGAGTCGGGAGATGAATGTAGTTTCGTATGCAATGATCAACGTTCGCAGTCATATGTGATAGTCGCAGAGAGGGCAGTTTGTCTCAAGCCGTTATCGGTGAAAATTTATCTTAATCATGAAGAAGTATTTGATTCTTCTCAAAATAGTTACAACGTTTCTCAGAAAAGTTACCATCGACTAGACTATGTATGCAACGAATGGAAGACTATGCAAATTCCAATTCCCAGCAAGGAAAAGAAAGACAAAGAACACTTCGAATTTTCATTTCCGCATATTCCTGATATGTTACATATAACTCAGGATGAAACTGATTATATGTGGTATACAGGCGTTGGTACCATTTATTGCCCGTTTAAAGGAGAAAATACGCCCCATTGTCTGAAAATCCATATGGAATTGGAAGCTGCTGACTATGTTCACGTCTTTTTAAACCGTAAATATGTAGGATCTTGTAGGAGTCCATGCTATGATGAGAGATTTACAGGAAGAAGGTCTGGATTTTCCAAATCCTTCGATTTAGAAGATTTCGCCCCCATGCAAATTGCAGCGGACAAGGATGGAACTTACAAATTCGAGCTTGCTATTTTGGTTTGCTCTCTTGGTCTTATTAAGGGAGAGTTTCAGCTATGGGAAAATGGCAGAATGGAACAGGAAAGAAAAGGAATTTTTTCTCATCCCATAATGTGTTTCCAGTTGTTAAGTCCCAGTGGCAAACTCGAAACTGTTCATGCTGCATTCGACTCCAAGTGGAGTAGTATACCTTTGTACATCAGCAAAGAGAATAGTCCAAGTATTTCATTTCCAATTACAAGTCAGCCACGGGTGGGACCCCAACTTTGGCAAGCGAAGGTTCATCTCAAAGCAAACGAACTTCAACAGGTAAATATTATTTTGTGTTGACATTGCTACAGAAACTCAAAAATTTTCTTATAGATGAAATATGGATTATTGT